CTAGTATTAACATTAAAACTTATTAAACTTAGTAACTCTGGATCTTGAACATATCCATTTATAATTTTAAAAAGGAAACATAAATCCGCTTGACATCTTCTATCATGTAGTGATGAGATATTTAGTATTGACAGTATATCATCATATGTGTATTGCTGTCTAATAAAACCAATTTTGTAAGCACATACCCTCAAGAATTTATTTTGAACTCTCTCGATACTGTTGATGTCACTGTTATATGAAGGAGACCAAATGAGAGAACCATACTCCAAAACTGATCGAACTAAACTAAAGTATAACATTTTTAAAGTTTGTACTGAAAACTGATTACAGTTTCTAAGAATAAATCCTAACATTTTTAAAGCTTTAGCTGAAGTTTCGTTAATGTGATATTTAAAAGTTAGTTTAGAATCAAAATTTATACCTAAATCTTTAATATTATGACGTGCCTCTAAAGGTACATTATTTATACAATAATCATAATTTACAAACTCTCTTGATCTTCCAAAAGTAATTTTAAAACATTTTTGTATATTTAAGTATAGCATGTTTACCTCACACCAACTAGCTAAGCTTTTAATGTCATTCTGTAATAAAGAGGCATCAACTAGGTCATTAACTATTCGAAATATTTTAAGGTCATCAGCAAACATTAGAAATTTACTATTTTTAATCACTGAGGATATATCATTAACAAATATATTAAATAAGAGAGGCCCAATATGCGACCCCTGAGGAACTCCTGAGGTTACAGATACTCGTTGAGATAAAAAATTTCCATATCTAACATACTGACATCTACCCGATATATAACTACCTATCCACTCAATTATTTTACCTCCAAATCCATAGCCATTTAATTTAGCAATAAGCAGATCATGGTTAACTGTATCGAAGGCTTTTGAGAAGTCTGTGTAGATAGCGTCAACCTGACCCTTCTGTTCCACTGAATTAGCTATAAAATTCGTATACAATATTAAGTTCGTGCATGTAGACTTACCCTTAGAAAAGCCATGTTGTCTAACATCAATTAAATCTTTACAATTCCATGTCAAAAAGTTATTTACAAGACACTCAAAAAGTTTGGATAATACAGATTGGCTACAAACCGCTCGATAATTCTCAACATCATTTTTATTACCAGACTTGAAAATTGGTGTTAAATAACTAGTCTTCCAAAGATCAGGAAAGATGCCGGTACTCAATGAGGAATTAAATAAGTAGCAGATAGGTTTTACAAGAGTGAAAATGCAATGCTTGAGAACATAAGCTGGCAAACAATCTGGTCCAAGCGATAATTTCCAAGGCATCTTTAAAACACTATCAATTATGTCAGAGACCTCAATACTATAATTATTCACATTTACACTCTGCTGATAGTTAAAAATTGGGATCTGATTAATTTTAGAATTAGAATATGTAGTTGAGAAAAACTTACCAAATAGATTGACTATGTCTTGAGCATTATCACTTGTACTATCACCGTAGAACATATTAGATGGCAGATTATAACTTTTACGTTTATTATTGATATATTTCCAAAAATGTCGAGGATTAGATAGAATCCCATTCTCAATATTATTCAAATAGTTACTATAACATTGAGAGGAGACTTGTTTAATTTCATTTCTTAACTGAGAAAATCTTAAATATTCATCCCTTCTACCAAACAATTTATACTGCTTATGTAATTTCTTGTTTTAATTATATATATTTTAAATTATATATATATATATATATTATATATATATATATATATATATATATATATATATGTATAATACAGTGTGGGAAACCACTTATGGAATAAGATTGTTTGTGTCCTTACTATAAAAAATAATCAAAAACTCTGGGAGGACGTTAACTTTTTAAATTTAAATGTGCGCTTTTTAAACATAAGTTTAAATGTACAGGGTAATCCACGCAACTGTGGCATAGTCCATAATCCTTATTTTTAATGAAACACCCTGTATATTTTTGTTTTTAAAATACTTTTAACAACCTGATTTCAATGAACTATATTCATGTAGGGTCTATAATGAATAATACAAGGTGAATTTTGAAATTAATAATTTATCACGTGTTTTGGTATTATTTTAAATTAGCTAAATACAGACAATAGACTTCTACTCTGTCAGTACACTGTATATGGGGAAAATTTCTGTTTAGTAGCTGTGTTAACATTTTTTGTCGCGAATAGGTAAAAACTGTATTGATAGTCAGTTAAATAAGAAACAATAAGATTTTTACTAAATCAGTAAATAATGCGGATTGTTATCAATCAGTTGACATGCTGTTGACATTTTACATTAAAAATAATAAATTCTTAATTAAAACTAATTTCTTGCAGAAATAAAAAATAAATAATTTAACTAAGGCCCACCAAGTTGAGATTTTTAATGATGATCAGTTACGGGGATTCAGGCTTTTGAATTATGGTTATACAGAAGAATTCTGAAGATACCATGGACAAACAAAGTCACTAATGAAGAAGTTCTGCGGAGTATGAACACAACCGCGGATTTGGTCAATATTGTGAAGAGCCGTAAGCCCCAGGACGAAGAAGAATATCCTGTCTTGCTAACCTGAGAGCATGGTATAGAAAGACCTCAACACAGCTATTTCATATAGCAACCAACAAGATCATCATAGCCAGAATGATCGCCAACCTTCGGAACGGACAGGCACCCTAAGAAGAAGAAGGTTACGGAGAGAATTGTAGAAGTCAAGTTGAAGTAGCAAACTTATTTAGTATGTACATTCAAATTTATGTCTAAAAAAGCGTACATTTAAATTTAAAAGTTAAGGTATCTCAATGTTTTTTAGTTATTTTCTAAAATAAGGACACAAACAATTTTATTCCATAAGTGGTTTCCACACTGTAGATATATATATATATATATATATATATATAATATATATATATATATATATATATATATATGTATATATATATTATATAAATAATATATATATATATATATATATATATATATTATATATATATATATGTATACTAAAAGTTTTTGCATAGTCAATCTACCAGGTTTACTTGATTTTGTAAATACAATTTTTTGTGATTTTTGACTTTCCTTATAGCAGAAACAAATTTTCAAAACAATCAATTTTAAAACCCCATGACTAAAAACCAATTCACCCACAGAGTACTTCTGATATTTTTTTATGCTGTCATAGAATTTTAAGTGACTTTAACTTCCCAAATATATCACTTTTATTTATCAATGTAGTCTCCATTAAGATTAACACACTTGTCCCATCTATGTTCTAGCATTTCTAAGTGTATGCTCATAACAAGGTGCCGACCATAGGATGGTATCATAGTATCATCGCCATGTAAAATAAATGCATTATTTTAAAAATTCCAGTGTTCACTGTCAGAGCGCAGCACCCAGCCTCGAGCCAGGTATCAGACCTTGGACTTGGACCATAGCATTCCAGTATTTTTTTTATTCTTATCCCTTGTACTCTGCGATCCATACTATGAGGTGTCAACCACCGAGCCTCGCTACGATCATCATATCGATGTCAGTAAAATAAATGCATTATTTTGAATGCGAGAATTCACTTCACTGTCAGTGCTATGATCTATGCGAGGATACCATGCGATGGTCTCCGTAATGAATGCAGCCTAATGTTTCTCATTAAATTAAATGTAACTAACACTAAATGCTTTATCAAATTAAATATGAAACACTCAAATTCAATCATATTTTTTTGTTTTAGTTTCAAAATCTATAAAAATATTCACTTATGATTAAATTGTAACATAAAAAACAAAAAATAGTTTATGAATAGTCACACAACACTAAAATCTTGAATATATTAAAATTTATAAAGATGTTAATATTTAATAGATGGTGCACTACATCAGTGAGTAGACAAAATTATAAAATCCACCTTGTTATGGATATTCTTAGAAACTCATAGGCAGATTAATATATTTTGAATGGCTATTTAGATTGTAAGCTTTGTAATGGGTAAAGTAAATTTATGTTTCAAAGAAGCACATACAATATGGTGCATATGAAAGGAATAAATTGATTATTTAAAAAAACTGGAGACTTTAAAAAATTGCTACTTTATTCTATTTTTAACCCAAGGATGTCATTAATAGTACATTTTCCTTTCTAATTAGCTTTTCTATATCATATTAGTTTTTCCTCAAGTGCTGTAGAAAATATTCACTCTCGACAGACCAATTAAACTATTTTTGATCGTTTTTATTAATTTTACCAGATCTGTGGTAATGTACAATTCATTTATTGTATGCTTTTGAATAATAAATAGACTTTAAATAAATTTCACATTTAATATTTATTTGTAGGTGACCAGCATTCTAAAGAACTATATAAATACAGATTTTTTTATATTGTTTCATGTAAATATATCTAACAGTTAAAATCTTTAAGAGAGAGCTGTTAATGATTTTTTGGTATTTTAGAACAAACCACAATTACAATCAATGTAGGTATAAGTTTTAAATATAGAAATATGTGATTAGGGGAAATATTGTTTAAAAAAATACTTGGTTAAGTTTAAGAACAAACTATTAAAAAAATCTTGGAAGTTAACATTATCTTTCTCGATTTATTTAGTATCAGAATTCAATAAAATTTCGCCTTATCTTTACCCAAAAAATTATTTTAAGAAGTTCTGTTAACTGCATATTAAGATTGATATTTTATTTGTTTAAAGTAAAATCAGATAATTATTTCTACACAATTTCAAAATATTATAATGAATATTTCTCATTTTATCTCATCTGGTAATCACTCTAAATTATAACAAATTTTAAACCACAAACCACAATTTTATTTTTAAGCATAACACAAATCTTATATAAGAGATATTTCTAACATTGTTAATACTAACGAATGAGTTTTATCTTTGTAGTTTTACAAGCTATTAAAGCAATATTTAAGATTAAAATTTTTTATCACTTAACTGTGATAAGTACAACACTACTTGAAATTACATACCTGTAGCTGAGACATGGGAAACGCCCCCCATCTCTAAAATGGGCAGATGCCACAATGGTTTCATCATCTATTGCCTTAGGAACTACCAATGTGCTTCCATAAGTACTACAAACACTAAAATTCTTATTCACATTTGAGACCCTCCATTCATCACTGGCAATAAGCTTAGTAAATTCTACTTCTAAATCAAAGAGAGTATAACCATCTTCTAAAATGGTATACATAGGCCTGTAGAAGAAAGGATACAGTAATTCCGGTTTTTCCAAGTTAGACAAACGCTGAATGGACAAGTATACGTTTTGGAAATGTTCCGGGTGAGCTATGTCCAACTGTAGAATCCTAAAATCTTTACATTTGAGAAGAATTGAGCCCCCGCTTTGAGCATTGTTGTTGCTAGATACTTTCTTCTCCACAGCATCAATACATTGATGTAACAACTGAAACGAATATTAAATGTAGTTACATTTTTATTAGTTTAGTATAGTTATAAACTTACCCATAGTTCTTGTACATCCTCTTTCATAGAAGAAACTATCAAATGATGTCCTGTTATGCATATCCTCCCATCCACAGGATCTTGAAAGGGGCTATGTAAAATTACACCGTCCAATTTCGGCGTCTTTATCATTTCGATGAAATCCATTTCTATTAGATCTTTCCATCACTTCGTTTTTCCATTCCTATATGGAAGATTTAGAGTTTTGAGTTTTGCTTAGCAATATACTGTGGTTTTGATTTGTTATTTAATTTTGAACGTAAATGTCACTGTCACTTATATGCCATTTAGTTGACATTTTAAGATTGAAAGAACACAGACCACTAATAATAGAGGTACAATCTGTGCTGAATGAAGAACAGACAACACATAACACATTTAACTGCCTAAAATTCATCTTTAATAATTTATTGAATAATGTATGTATACATATTGAAAAAGTCTAGGGATATTTTTATAAAATTACTAAAAATGAATTTTCACGGATGTCCAATTAATATTTTGTTATTATACTGATTCTATATATTTTTATAGGTTGAAAAAATACAGCACTCACAACAAAAGTTTTACCAATTTATTTACAGGAGAGTAAATATCAGGTAGTTTCGATTTCATTCACATTATATAACTCTTGTTAAGTATGTGCGTTAAAATACTGTGCTTTATCATTTAACTTACAATAGGACGAAATGAATCGGGCTCTAGGTCTTCTTTACATTTCTTTCTACATTCGCAAATTTAATTAATGATGATTCCCTAAAATTCGCCACAATTTTTCCCCCAAAAAATCCCCCATCCATTTCAGCTTATAAAAATTCCCCCAGACGCTTTGAAATTACCTCAAAAATGCGGGGAAATGCCGGTGATGATATATTAATTATGGTAAGAGGAAAATATGGTAATGTTCTATCCAGAACACTCCAAAGAACATTAAATATCCGTATTATAGGGTGAGACAGGGAAAAACTCTGCCAATCTTAATAAAACGGTAGTAGTCAGTTTCACAAAGACACGAAGTCTAGATAACATTTGAGTAATACTAGATAAGTGGCTTATATGGAACGCCCATTTAGTAAGAATGACCAACAAAACAAAGGTTTCCCTTTGGACATTGTGGTGAAACATGGCGTATGTAACCCAAACAGATGTACTGGCTATATGACTGTAGTCAGACCTGTCATTAAGTAAGGCGCACTAACAGCAAGTATGCTTAATCATCACAGGACTACCCCTATCGCCTCCATAGAGGTCATGCTTGATCGCCCTTCATTACATATATAAATGGAGAAGGAGACGAACGTGAGAGTATACAGAAACATATATACAAGGATAAAACGCCAAGAATCAGGGCAAAAGGATATCGGAATCAAATCTGGAGAGATAATTAAAAGTCACCCAAAGTTACTTTATATTTAAACCTAGAATTTCGAAAAGGCATTTATGCTTCCATTTACCATGAAGGGAATCTCATAATGGCAGAGCAATGCTGGTATACCAACGGCTCTAAAACTACTGAAAACGGTTATCACTCCACTATTTTCCAACCGGAAATTTATGCTATACAGATGTGATAACAAATCTATAAAAATTATATCTGACAACCAGGCGGCATTAAAGGCACTGGAATTGAATCGAAGTTAATTTGGAACTGTCTTCAGAATCTGATTCAGATCGGAAAAAGCATCAACAATATGGGACTGGGTGGAACGGATGAAGCGTAACTCTCCAACATTCAAAGGCTTTTATACATAAACCTTCGAACTAGAGATTCAACGATCTACTAGACATAAATAGGAATGATCTACGAATTATCGTAGGCCTCTTAACAAGACACTCTAGCCTCAAGGGGCACATGAACAAAATCCGGCTAACAGAGAGTACAAATTGCAGATTCTGTCAGGCTGATGACGAGATGACGAAACACGTTCTGTGCAACTGCCCAGGGTTGGGTAGGATAAGGCTCAATACATTTGAACAATATCAACTCGAGCCCTACGACTTTGTAGAAGTGTCACCTAAGGTCATAATAGATCGTTAAAACGGGTAGATTAAAGGGACAACTCTAACCTAGGGATGAGATTCAATAAACCTCTGAGGTCGAGTGGAAGGGTGGTTAAGCGCACATTCATATTGAACCTAACCTAACCTACAATATAATGCGCGTAAATTTACCTCATGTTGACATTAACATTATCATTTTGAGTATGAAGATGTAGAGTTATAATAAACCAACGTGAAGTCATATATACTTTATATTAAAATAAAGTTTTTTTCAATACCGATGTCGAAAATCGCAATTTTTTTATCATTCTTTTAATAATAATTCGGTCAGATAGCCAAGCGGGCTGGGCGGCCGGTTCTCATTCGCTTCATCGTCATCGACATTTTTTATTCGTAATTTCCATAGCTGGAGCATCATCAGGCTGAATTTGACCAGTGGTTATGTTGACTTTAAGGCCTCTATGGTTTGTGGTTTATTCGCAAAAACGTGAAACTTAAGAAAACCCCCAGAAAAAAGAATTTAATAAGCTCAAATCGGGAGATCTCGACGGCCAATTCAGATCACCTTCACGTGAGAGGGCTATGCCTTCAAATCGTTACAGAATGTCAAATACGGCATGAGCAGTGTGGCACGTAGCCCCGTTCTATTGAAATCATATAAACCATACCGTGTCCTCTTCTGAGATCGCTGAGAAGGGGACTCAGAAATGAGTAACTCTTCTAAGTATGCAGCTTCTTCAGTCTAAAATAAAATTGATACCACTAGATACATGCCAGCAGAATGGGCTGCCATGGAAATGGTAAACGAGGGCAAAATCATATGGACAATAAACGCATTTTAAGTTTACGAAGCCTCACCTCCTACGAAGCAATCTCAGGGGCGATTGGTCAAAAAATAATAGACGAAACAAACTGCAGATATATCGACTGCATGCTGAGGAACCGTGTGATATAAGTAACGATACTGGAGAATTCAGGGTCAACAGAAGTAGACAAAGGATATCCGCAGGGGAGTCTTATCTCCCCTCTTGTGGAATCTGGCCATGGATGGATTGATAGCTAAATAGATAGATAGATTAGATAGATAGATAGATTAGATAGATAGATAAATTAGATAGATAGATAGATAGATAGATAGATAGATAGATAGATAGATAGATAGATAGATAGATAGATAGATAGATAGATAGATAGATAGATAGATAGATAGATAGATAG